GTTTGTATCAGCAGTGGGTCAGAGATCCTCCCAGAGACCCGTCACTTGTGGGGTGCCCCAGGGATCGGTTGTCTCCCCCCTGCTCTTTAATATCTATATGAAGCCGCTGGGTGAGATCATTCGTGGTTTTGGGGTGAGGTATCACCAATATGCGGCTGATACCCAGCTTTATATCTCCACCCCAGATCACCCTAGGGATGCCCTTTCTGTGATGTCCCTTTGCCTGGAGGCGGTGCTGGCTTGGATGGGTAGGAACAGTCTCAGACTCAACCCATCCAAGACTGAGTGGCTGTGGATGCCGGCATCTCGGGATCTAGAGGTACCATCTTTAGTGATAAGAGGGGAGACTCTTACCCCCTCCGCTAGGGTTTGCAATCTGGGTGTCCTCCTGGATTCTCGGCTGTCCATGGATGACCATCTGACGGCCGTAACCAGGGGGGCCTTCGCACAAGTACGCCTTATGCGCCAGTTGCACCCTTTCCTAGACCGAGATGCCCTCGCCACAGTCACCCATGCCCTTGTTACTTCTCGGTTGGATTACTGCAACGCCCTCTCCATGGGGCTGCATCCGGAGGCTCCAGCTGGTCCAGAATGCGGCCGCACAGGTAGTTACGGGAGTTCCTCATTACTCCTATGCAACACCTCTCCTGCGCAAGCTGTACTGGCTGCCGGTTGCTCTCCGGGTCTGTTTCAAGGTGCTGGTACTTACCTATAAAGTCCTACATGGCTTAGGCCTGGGGTACTTGCAAGACTATCTTCTGCTTTCTTCCCACCGTCCCGTGCACTCCCACAGAGCAGGCCTCCTCAGGGTGCCATCAGCCAAACAATGTCGACTGGCAGCCCCCAGGGGGAGAGCATTCTCGGTCGGAGCGCCGACCCTCTGGAATGATTTGCCCACCAAGCTGAGGATAGCCCCGGACCTCCTTTCCTTTCGCCGCGAACTGAAGACATGGCTCTTCCGTCAAATAAATTGATCTGCTAGAGGTTGCACAAACTGTAATAATTTTAAATATGGTTTTTAAGGGGTTTTTAACTTATTTTGTGATTTTGTGATTTGTATTATTGATTGTTGTTGTAAGCCGCCCTGAGTCCTTCGGGAGAATGGCAGCATATAAATCGCAAAAATAAAATAAAATAAAATAAATAAATAAATAAATAAATAAATATTGGCAAGAGAATATAAGTGTAGAGCAAAAACAAGATGTGACTACATATAAAGAGCTTCTTAACAAGGAAAGAGGTGTACTACAACTAAAATCTTTGAATCAACTAAGAGAAGAAAGGATAATTCAAGCATGGTTTCAGTATGGACAGCTGCAAGCTAGATGGAGAGAAGATCAGAAAATTGGTATCCTGCAAAATGAGGAGAACTTGGTAAAACAAATTAGAGATCAAAGTCAAATGCATATAAAAAGGTTGTATAATGCATTGGTAGAAATAGATTCAGAAACGGAGTTAGTTAAGGACTGTATGATAAAGTGGGCACAAAATATTGAAGAACCAATAATGATGGAAATGTGGGAAAAAATATGGGTTAGAAATGTGAAGTTTACGCAAGCCCAAAATTTAAGAGAGAATTTTTATAAAATGTTTTATAGATGGCATCTAGAGCCTGTATGTATCCAAGCGTACAACCTGAGTCCCTTCTGGGAGAAGGGCGGTATACAAATTAAATTAATAAATTAATTAATAAATAAATAAAGTGTTGGAGATGCGAATGTGATGATGCCACGTATTATCATATATGGTGGACATGTAAAAAAATTAAGGCATTTTGGATAAAAATATGGTGGATTATCCAAAACATTCTTAAAAAGAAGATAAAATTTACTCCACAGTTCTTTTTGTTGGGTATAATTACAGACTGGACGGTCATAGAGACTAAATTGATTTTAAATTTAATAACAGCAGCCAGACTTTTGGTGGCGCAATATTGGAAGAAGGAAGACTTACCTACTATTGAAGAATAGACACTAAAAGTAGTGAATTTAGCAGAGATGGCAAAAATTTCAGCATACTTGAAGGACCATTCAAATGAAAGATATATATATCAGAATGGAGTAGATGGATTGACTATATTCAAAACAAATATCGGACTAAAAAGTTTCAAATAGCTTATGAATGAAACAAAAAATTTTGTTTTGAATTATGTTTTGTTAGTTGAAAGGGGAGTTAAAGAGCAAGAGGGAGTTTGGAGCCTACAGAAAGTTAGCCTATTTTAGTTTATGTTTGTTAAATGTTATACCCTGTATTTGCTCTGGGAAGTCCGGGGTGGGTGGGTGGGGGGAGGGGGATTGGAGGGAGAGGGGTGATGAGGGTTGTGGGGTGGGTGGAGGAGGGAAGGTGGAGGAGGGAGGGGGGGAGGAGGGATGGGAAAAATTGTTGTATACCTGATAAAACTTTTTAATAAAAAGAAAGAAAGAAAAAAAGAAAAGGTTCGCCAACACTGGTGTAGGGTCTTCTGCTTGAGCAGGGAGTTGGACTAGAAGACCTCTGAGGTCCCTTCCAAGTTTGTTGTTCAGCTGCCACCTTTCCTGCAGGACCACGAAGACGGTGTCCAACGCTTGGTGGAAATGGCGAGTGTTTGATACAATGCAAATCAGATGCCGACTGTAGAGAACCGTCATTGTGCTGCTCCGACGGCTGTCGCTCTGCCTGCGTAAGAGGAGATGAGGAGGTAGGGGTCCCATTTCAGGTGTGGGGGAGGATGGAGAGGGAGAAGGTGGAAGTGGATGCTTCAGGTCCTCTTTGCTCTCCCGCCACCCCCATTGCTGTCGGACGGCAGATGGGGCCCCCGCCTTTTCCTGGGCATCAGGAAACTTTCCCAGGAAGGACTCTCTGGGCATGGAAGGGCTGCCCTGATTGTGGCCAGGTGGGGGCAAGGGTTGTCCTGGGGTCCCCTGGACCACAAGAGCAGGGGGTGGTGAGGGGATTGTGAAGCCCCTTATGGGTAGGGAAGAATCCCTGGTATGAAGCAGATGTTCCCACTCCCTCAGGACTGGACCTCTTCCCTGGTGGTCCTCCAGCCACCCAGCTATGCTGAAAGCCTTCCTCCTCCCTCCCTCCCTCCCCCTCCCTCCCTCCTTTTTCTCCTCCCTCTCTCTCTGCCTCTCTCCCTTCTTACTCCTACTCCTCCCTCCCTCTCTCCCTCCTTCTCTTTCTCTCTCCTTGCCCCTCCTCCTCACTCCCTCCCTCATTCTCCCTCCCTCTCTCCCTTCTTACTCTTACTCCTCCATCTCTCCCTCCTTTTCCTCTCACTGTCCTTGCCCTTCCTCCTCCTCCCTCCCTCATTCTCCCTCCCACCCTCTCTCCCTTCTTACTCCTCCTCCTCCCTCCCTCTCTCCCCCTCTCTCCTTTCTACTCCACCTCACTCACTCCCTCATTCTCCCTCCCTCTCTCCCTTCTTACTCCTACTCCTCCCTTCCTCTCACTCTCCTTGCCCCTCCTCCTCACTCAACTCCTCCTGTCCTCCCTCCCTCCCTGTCTCCCCCTCTCCTTTCTATTCCTCCTCCTCCTCGCTCACTCCTCCTCCCTTCCTCACTCACTCACTCCTTGCTCCTCCTCCATCCCTCCCTGCTCCATCTGAGGGGTCTTTGCTCCTCTGGCTGTTCCTGCTCCCTGCTCATCTTCTTGCCCCCCCCAATAAAAGATCTTTTCCTCTCACTCAAATCCCCTGCAGTCTTTCATTTTTTGTCCTTGTAATCATCCTCAGTCTGGACCGTCCGTCTCGGGGGCAGCATCCTCGTTTTGCACAAGTTTCCCCCGGATGAAACCTTGATGCTCTCAGCCTCCATCACTGGAGGGTTTCAAGCAGAGGTTGGCGGCCATTGCTCTGAGGAGCTCTGCCCTGGGCTGGGTTGGAGCACACACTACTTCTGGTGGCAAAATGTTCCATTGATTAATTGTTCTTGCTGTCAGGAAATTCTTCCTCAATTCCAAGTTGCTTCTCTCCTTGTGTCAGCACTTCAACCTGCATTTACTCTAGTGCTGACATAAGAAGGAGAAGAGGGGGGCAGCTGGCAAGAGGACGCTTGACTTCTCACCTACTTATTTTCCCTGGAGATAATGTTTCCGAGGAGATGAGATGGGATGGGGGGACATTCCTGGGAGCTGAAGTGGGAGATATGGGGAGAGTGATTTGGGAAGAGGGCCAATGAGATGCAGAGAATTGGGGAACAGAAAGGGAAGGTTTTGGGGTCAGGAAGTCAGTGTTGGCTACGCCACAATCGGGGACAGGTTGTCGTGCTTAATAAAATGAAAGATTTCTTCAAAGACTATTTGTTTGGAAATGCAATTTATTTTAATTGAGACGACATCGAAACCTGACACCTTGATTCATTTCCACCCATTGTTTCTTCTCCTGCCCTCAGGTGCTTTGGAGAATAGCTTGAGTCCGTCTTCTTTCTGGCAGCCCCTCAAATATTGGGACATTGCTCTCATGTGAAGTCCTCCTGCTCCTCCTCCCTCCTTCCCCATTCCTTCCTTCCTTCCTTCACCTGACTAGGTGGCTCAGTGGCTAAGGCACTCAGCTTATCGATCAGAAAATTCAGCAGTTTGAATCCCTATGATAGGTCTCCTGCGTGAGCAGGGGGTTGGACTAGATGACCTCCAAGGTCCCTTCCAATTCTGTTACTGAGTTCCTCCTTTTCCCTCCTCCTCCCTCCTCTCCAATTCACCAGTGGAATGGCTTGTCCCCGGAGATGATGGGTGCTTCATCACTGGAGGCTTTCAAGAAGAGACTGGACAGCCATTTGTCCAGAATGGTATAAGGTCTCCTGTTTAAGCAGGGGGTTGGACTAGAAGTCCTCTGGGGTACCTTCCATTATGCTGTTACTCCTTTTCCCTCCTCCTCCCTCCCTCCCTCCCTCCCTCCCCCCCTCCTCCTCCTCCCTAATCCCCCACTCCTCCTCCTCCTCACCCTGGAAGGTGGTCCCTCTGGCTCCTTCTTGCTAGTAGCCCATCAACTGACCAACCACAAAACAAACTCTCTCACACCCAGGTTCAGACCATTTGGTAAAGTTTCAGTGTCTTTAATGTGTGTTTTTCTCTCATTATGTACAAGCAGAGCCCTATAGGGAACAGTTTGGGGTTGAATTGGTTGGTTGGTTGGTTGGTTGGTTGGTTGGTTGGTTGGTTGGTTGGTTGGTTAGTTTGGTCATTCATTCATTCACTTATTCATTCATTCATTTATTCATTCATTCAGTCATTCATCAGCCTTCTATCCCAGCATGCATGCAGAAACACACAGAACACACACACACACACACACACACACACATGCCCCATCTTCTCCCCACCACTCTGCCCTCTAAGGCCCATTGGGCTGGTAAAGAGTGACCAGTGAGTGTCCGGGAGGGGATCTCCAGCTTCCAGTCCACCCTTCAGACATTGTTCATGTTCCTCTTTCCTCAGATTCAGGGCTGCCTGAATCAGGATGGGGCCATTTTGTGCCTGCGATGACCCAAGGCTACCCCCCAGCTCTCTCCTCTGAAGGTGGAAGCTCTGGCCCCATTGCAGTCAAACTAGGAGTCAGGTCGCCAAGGGCCAGGGGTCCTCTGTGTTTGGAGAACTCTCTGTCCCTCTTTCTCCCGAGACCCCACTGCCTGGCAAGCAGGACCCTTCCTGGGGGCAAGCGGAGTGTGAGTGAGAGGAAGTCCCCTCTGGCCAGACTGACCAGGACTGCCAGTCCCTTCATCTAACCTGCAGGGATGGGAAAGAGGACCAGCCTATCTCACCACCCAGCCTGGGGAGGGACATAGCCAAGGCACACGCCAACCAGGACCAGCCCAGGGAGTGTGAGGGAGTGTCCTTTGGGGGCAACTGCACAGAGACACAACACAGAGTATACGGAGGGGCAGGGGGGAGGGAGGGGGATGCAGACAAGGCAGATTCAACCACTCGGAGGCATCACTCTTTTCCCATCTGAGTCAGGGCTCCAGGAAAGCAGCTGAGTCGGGAGTCCAGTCTGGTGATTTTGCCGGCTCTGTTCCAGCCAACAGTTAGACGCTCCCTGGAAACGGAAGGATGGTGGGTCAGGCTAAGGAGGCAATGGAGACAAGACCGGATATTGGCAACCTCAAGAAACACAGGAATGTTGCATCCTAGTGTAGAAAGTTGGCACCCACCCCTCTCCTAGAAGAATGAAATGCTTTAGGAAATATTAAAAAGGCAGAATATTATATTTCCCCTAAAAGAGAAATAAAAAAATCGTAAGGGAGACAGAAACTCAGAGCCACAGCTCCCTCCCCCCAGCAGATATTTGGTTCCCATTGGAAAAGACTGGGCCATCCTATCTACAAGACAAAAGTCATTCAGCCTCAGAGTGAAGGGATTAAGACCCTCCAGGACATAATAGGATTAAACCTCTAACACATCGAGCTCACTACATCGTGCAATCTCCTAAGGACATTGCATCACCCTCAAACTTCCACCAAACCTAGGAGCTCAGGCAACCTACAGAGCCAGCTATGACCCCTACAACAGACAATAGAATACATGTTCTTGCACAGGAACAGGAACTTCAAGTGCAAAGCCCAAGAGAAGGTATAAATACCCCTCACTCTCAACTCAAAATGGTCAGCTGCCCAGAACCACCCATGTGCTTCTGCTTCATCATTAAACCATCTTTCCAATCAGCCTCCAGCCTTCATTTTGTCTCCAGTGCCTTTCTCCCAGCTTGGAACTGAAGCAGATGGTATTTCTTCCAACACTAGGTTTAAAATAGCAGGGGTGATACCCATTGGGCGAAAACTCTAAACCAGAGATGTCCAACCTTGGCAACTTTAAGAGTTGTGGGCTTAGGTCTTGGGTCCAACCTCCAGTGGGAATCTTGACCCTAGACTAGGGGTGTCCAACCTTGGCAATTTTAAGAATTGTGGACTTCAAGTCCCAGAATTCCCCAGCTAGAAAAAAATGTCAAAATCCAAGAAGGTATAAGTATTTCAGACCATGCACATCTTCACCAACTGAGAGGTGTCGTCAAAAGGGAGCTCCAGAGAAGTTCTAGAGGATCAACACTGGTGTCCTCTGCTAGGCCCATGAGAAGTGCCTTCAACTGTCCAACTTCTGGATCCTCCTAATATTTGCTTTCGGCTGGCGAGAGGTTGGTACTCACCTTTGGTGAACCTGCAGGTTCCAAGACACTCGTCTTCAGATTCAAAATTGTTCTTGTTGCCACCACAGCCGCCATAGATGAACCGCTCACATTTGTGAGTGGAAGCATTGTAGAAGAAGCGTGGGAACATCGCCTTGCAGATGCCACAGACGGAGGGCAGCTGGCAAACATCTGCAGCAGCCAGAGAGACACAAGATGAGACAGGAGACAAAGGGAAATCGTCTCTAGAAGTTCTCTAAGGAGGAGAAATAGTCCTAGAAAGTTCCCTGATATTTAGAAGCTCATTTCTGATATATGGAATCTAGTGAGTTACAGAATTTTTTTTTAAAAAAAGAACATACGAGAAGCATTTCACAGAGGCTGCAGTCAGTGGCGCCATCTTGAGGCCAATCCCCCCACCCACGGTCATTGAATTGAATTGAATCAAATACTTTATTTGACCAAGTGTGATTAGAAATACAAGGAATATGTCTCCGATGAAGAAGCTCTCAGTGTACATGCAAAGCAACAGAGCAAAGCATTTAATGAAGGAGAGAAGCAACCTGGAATTAAGGAGAGGATAACTAACCAGTGGAACAGAAGTTGCCTCCAGAAATCGTGGGTGCTCCATCACTGGAGGTTTTTAAGAAAAAACTGGACAGCCACCTGTCTGAAATGGTAGAGGCTTTTCTGCTTCAGCAAGGTCCTTCCAGCTCTACTCTGATTCTGAAATAATCTTACAATTTGCTAATCATCATCATCACCATAAGGGGTAAGAAAGAATGCATGTCATCAGATGGACACCCACCTTCTCAGAAAGGTTGGGGGAGGTGAGATGTTTTGCAGGAGAAAGTTTAGCTGTCCCCAGCCCATAGTATGGTGGGATGTGTCATACGTGAGGCTATGAAAGTGGTGCATCGCTCTCCCTTGTATAAAGCCAGTCCTATCTTTGGGTGACGTGGTAGCCTCATGTCCTAAAGATGGCAGATGGCAGGTCTCCCACGAACCGTGCAAGATACATCGAGTTACCGTACTTTTCAGAGTATAAGACACACTTTTTCTCCCCCTAAAAGTGGGTGAAAATTGCGGTGAGTCTTACACACTGAATGTTGCCAAAGCCCCACCCACCCACCAGCCCCCACCCTTCAGCTGTTTTCGGCCTCCACGCGTTGCATTTCTGACCTCCACGTGTTGCATTTATGGCCAGTTCCAGGAAGTGGGGATTGGCGGCGGTGAATGGGACACGCCGAACAGGCGGTGGCAAACGGGTGGTGGCAAACAGGCCACAGCAAGCGGGCCGCAGTAAACGGTCCATGCCGTATGGGACGCGGTAAATAGGCCACACCAGCGCGAACAGGCCACAGCGAATGGGTGGCAGCGAACAGGCCGTGCTGAATGGGCCTCGCTGAACAGGCCATGGTGGCAGCGAACAGGCAGCGGCAAATGGGTGGGGACGAATGGGCTGCAGTGAACAGGCTGCAGCAGCAGCAAATAGGCCACGGCAACCAGGCCATGGCGAAGGGGCCCTGGCAAATGGGTGGCAGTGAATGGGCAAAGGCAGATTTTTTTTCTTGTTTTCCTCCCCCAAAAAGGTAGGTGCGTCTTATACTCCAGTGCGTCTTATAGTCCGAAAAATATGGTACTTCCAAGTAGTTTCCTTTATGGTTCCTCACCTACAGACAGAATCTTGCCAGACTAAAGGTTACAATTTGTATATTACAAATAATACCCTGGAGAATCTCTAGGGAGGAGCCCTCTTAACTCTCTTCCTCCCAAGCAAACTATCTGCTGTCTTTTTGCTCTCTGGAATGCAGTTTCTCGCTCCTGGAATCCAGATTACATTCCACCACACATCTGCCATCTGCTTGCTTGGCAGACTTCCTAGCGCTTGGCCAGGGACCCGGGGGGGCCACCTTTCAGGGGTCCATCACACAGTTGGGGAAATCAGTGTCTGGGACCCCACAGCTCATTCCCACTTCAGATTTGGCAATATCTGGTCAGTTGTTGGACAAGAGACAAGCACTAATGTCCGTGAAGCCACAAGCAGGGAATGTAAGCTGCAGTGCCTTTCTACCCCACAACCTCCTAAGTGCTCTGCTGGCCCCAGACCTATGCCATTGCAGACAAATGGTTGTCTAGTTTCTTCTTGAAAACCCTCAGTGTTGGAGCACCCACAACTTCTGGAGGCAAACTATTTCACTGGTGAATTGTCCTCCCTTTTTGGAAGTTTCTCTTTCATTCCAGGTTGTTTCTCTCCTTGATGAGTTTCCATCCATTGCTTCTTGCCCTGCCTTCCGGTGCTTTGGAGAATAGGTTGACCCCCCTCTTCTTTGGGGCAGCCCCTCAAATACTGGAAGACTCCTATCAAGTCAAACCTAATCCTTCTCTTCGTTACACTAGACATCCATTTCTTGCAACCATTCTTCATATATTTTAGCCTCCAGACCCTTTCTCATTTTTATAGTGATAAGTGTGATGTTTATACAGAATAACAGAGTTGAAAGGGACCTTGGAGGTCTTCTAGTCCACCCCCTGCTCGAGCAGGAGATTCTATACCATTCCAGACAGATGGTTGTCCAGGCTCTTCTTAAAAACCTCCAGTGATGGAGAACCCATGATTTCTGGAGGCAAATTGTTCCACTGGTTAATTGTCCTCACTGTTTCTCCTTAATTCCTGGTTGCTTCTCTCCTTGATTTATTTCCATCCATTGCTTCTTATCCTGCCCTCAGGTGCCTTGGAGAGAATAGGTCGACACCCCCCCCCCTCTTCTTTGTGGCAGCCTCTCAAATACTGGAAGGCTGCTATCCTGTCACCCCTGGTCCTCCTTTTCTCAAGACTCTCAGAAGGCAGAGAGGGAAAGAGGAAGGTGCGAAGGAAGGAGCAAGTGAGGGATAAACAAATCTGCAGAGCTGCCAAGCAAAGCAAGAAGCCAAGCAGGCTGGGCAGCTCCCTGGGGCATGGGGGGGGGGAGAGAGACCGGAACAAATGAAACCTCCGGAGCTCTGAGTCATCCCCTCCCCTGAGGAATGCCACACTGGCCACGTGCATCTGCTGAGTCAACAGCCCCACCCTGGCGATGACACACGGGGAGATTCCCTCCCAGCACTAAGCCCAGAAACTGGAAGAAATGTCAGGCATGCAACAGAGAAGTGTGGTGGGGCAGGTATCGGCATTCTCACCACCATCACCCCCAAAGAGCCAAATCCTCCCTCCCTCCCTCCACGCCCCCCCCCCGCTTCAACCTAAGGCTGGCGAGGAAGTTGCCATGATCTGGAGGGGGCTGGATTTCAAGCCCTGGGAAGGGCGGGGTTTCTGCAGGGGAGCTGGCACTGGGCACAGTTGCACCTGGCAGGATTGCCACCACTTTGGGGTTTTCCAAAAGGCAGCTGGACTTTCTTGAGTTTTTCATCCAAGAATCTGGAGGCTTTGAAAGAGAGACTGGACAGCCATTTGTCCGGAATAGGGTTAGGGTTTCCTGTTTGAGCAGTAGGTTGGATAAAACAGCAATCCCCAACCTTTGTGGCTTGCTTGACTGACTCGAGGGGGGAAAGAGGGAAACTGGGCCATGTGAGCGGTGGGCCAGAGCACGTGGGCACACACACAGCCCTTACACAAATGCCAGGTGCCACCCACATGCGCAAGTGCCCACCAGCCTGCCACTTGTGCAAGTTGAGCTCTGTGTGTGCGCGCGCGCACTCCAGCCAGCCACTCGCAGAGCCCTATTTCAAATAGGCCATCGCCCAGTAGTGGGCCACATCCGGGGAGGGTGGGGACCCCTGGATTAGAAGACCTCCAAGCTCCCTTCCTACTCTGTTATTCTGTTAAGAAGCTTCTTCAGTTCTCACTTCAGAATTCACCAAAGAAGCTTCTTAGATGGGAAGTGAAACGTTTTCAAGGGGGAAAAAACCCAGAATGTCCCATTGCCTTTTGGGGGAAAAAAATCACCTTTGGGACTACCATGACCTGGACTAGGATGGAGAATCTCCGTAGACATCTACTCGGAGCCATTGCAAATAGGAACGGGGTACCCCAGTGGGAACCTCCGAAGAGTAGCAGAATCAGAGAGGAATTGAGGGGAGAGAGGAAAAGATCCATCCAAGAAAAGGGACCTGGAAGGTTGACCCTTGCAACATCTAAGCTTTGAGGATGGTCTCCTAGGAAGAGTTGATGGGGCATCATGAGCTCTTTGGCTGCCTTGTTCTGCCTGGAGACAGGATTGCCAGAGTAGAGTCATCAAACACTTTCAATTAGCAGTTGGCTGAGTCTGCTAAAAAGTATACAGAAAGGAACCTGGCAAGCCAACTGAAAAGCAGTTACGAAAAACTAACAAAACTTACAAAACTTACAAAAACTTATGACGTCAATGGAGAACAAAATTTCTGTTGCTAAAATGTTAAGTGCCCCATTTTATGGCCTTTCTAGACACGGTTGTTAAGTGAATGGCTGCAGCTGTGAAGTTAGTAAGACGGTTGTTAAGTGAATGGGGCTTCCCCATTGACTTTGCTTGTTAGAAGCTCACAAAAGGGGATCACGTGACCCTGGGACACTGCGACCATCATAAGAGTCCAACTTTGATCCCATGACCGCGGGGGTGCTGCAACAGTCATAAGTGTGAAAACTGGTCATAAGTCACTTTTTTTCAATGCTATTATAACAGTCACTAAATGAACTTTGTGAGAGCTGCTCTTGTTTCATTCAAGCCTTTCTGCTCTGGCTGGGAGTGGAGCCTGGGCCAAAGGCAGCCGTGAGGCTCCACAAAGGAGATTTGGCACCTGGCTAGGACTCCCTCCTCCTCCCACAGGCCCAGGCTCACCCGTAATGGCTTCCTCGCAGATGTAGCCGCAGTCTCCTGGGCAGCATTTCTGGGTGCCTGGGCAGTGGTGATCCCTGGCGCAGGTGGAGCAGGACGCGTTCTTCTGGCAGGCGCTGCAGTCCTGGGTGTCAAAGACGTCTCCCAAGGGGGGCACATTGTAGCAGTAGCCCTCCTTAGCTGTAAAGAACAAACGAGAAGTGAAGCCCAGGGAGAGGACGATGGGCAGAGGGGGCTCCATTTTGGGGAGAAGAGACTCTGGGAGCTAAGTCCACTTTGGAAGTATTTTGGCCAGAAACGTGAACGGTCCTGTGGGTCTTTAGAAAGGCTCCTGAGGGTCCCGGGTTTCAACCCCCTACCCCACGTCTTACGCTAACTCATAGGGCTGCTGGGAATGAATGAAGAAGGAAAAGGGGGCAAGGGAAACGCCCACCCTTGAACCCCAGAAGAAGGTCAGGATTCACAGGTCACCCAGAGTTGCTGTATGAGGAAGATGGGCAGTTTCTAAATATATTATCTATTTCTGTCTGTCTGTCTGTCTATTTCTATTTCTATTTCT